CGCGCTAGCCTAAGGGCCACCTTAGCAAAGCGCATCCCAGGCTGCATAGCCGCACTACCCTACCCAACCATACCACACATAAACATGACACTACCCCCGGGGTTTACACAGACGAGCCGGCGAAGCAAGAAGAGCGCCAGAAGAAAGGGCCCTAGCCGGCGGGGCCCAGCCAGGACAAAAGGAGGTCCCACAAAGCGCCTACACCGGCCGCATTTGCGGTCGGGGTAGACGACGGATGGGGCCCACCTACGAAGGCTGTCCAGGCCTACACGAGATGAGGCAGGATAAAGAGGGATAATCCCCCTCGATCCCAAATCATTGAGACCAATTTCTAGCCATGGAATAATGGCGCACTCGAGTGGTGGGAGTAAACATCTCGATATATCTCGAATGATCTCAGTAATCGAGTTCCACTCGATTTTTCACTCGAAATCTCCCATCACTAGTTTCATTATGTCTAGGTAAATTGCTTTGCTACAACGAGTGCGACTGGAGTCTCTTGTCGTTCGAAGATAATCGTGAACGAAGAATTTATTAGTATTTATAGAGAAAACAGTTGTTTATGGGACGTAAAAAGCATGGAGTATAGAAACAAATAAAGGAGAAACGCGGCTTATGAAAATTTGGCTTTAAAATGCAAGAAAGTGTTTCCCAATGCTACAAATGAATTCGTTTCAAGAAAAATTTCGTTACTGAGTTCTTCGTGATAACGGCGGCATGATATCTATGCGTCGCAGTGGTTCGTCGTTAACTGAGAAAAGTGAGAAATACCTTCGAGAAATAATAATAATACCACTACTGCCCGTTTAGTGTATGGAGCAGAAAGGATTGGTCCGGGTCCAGTCGTAGTCGTAAGTCGGATCTGAGTTCGTCTAGTTAATGGCCCACTTAACATTCTATTGTAGAAGAAGAAGAAAAGAATCATTCGAATTTTCAACGGCAACTACAAGTACCGTAATTTGAACGATTTTAAGGTTAATTCCTGAATATTTATTTTGTATTTGTCTTTAGTATATTGATATTACTCAAGACGTATCTATAACGAAATACTAGTAGTGTGAATACGTTCTTTTAATTATCTAATACGGCTTTACATAATAGGTACTTTACACAATAGCTTCATTCATAGCTAGTTTTATTATTAAAGATGACGACTAAGAACACCAAAACTCCAGCTATGGTCCTACAAGAATTTTCAGTAAAAAATAAATATGCACCACCAACTTATGAAATTATTTCTAGTATTACTGGAACTCATGCAAACAGATTTGACTATAGGGTTACCATAGCTGGTATTGTAGCAGAGGGAACGGGCACATCAAAACAAATCGGGAAACATAATGCTGCACACAATGCCCTAGTGATTTTAAAAGAAAAGGGCATTTATGATTCAGATGAAATTCCTGGGAAGGAATTTAAGGCATCTATACCGAATAATAGTACACCAGAAAGTCCATTTAAAGCATCACCGAATTGCGTAGGTAGGTATACATAAATTCTTTGTTGTGACAAATAATTGACTCCACAATCCAAATTAATTGTGTTTTTGTTTTATATTCCTTGTCATTACATGAAAGAAAAATATTTATTTTGTCTGTTTCTAGTAACTAGATATTACATTAAATAAGAATCCCCCATTTTAGGACCACTAAAAGACTTATGTATGGAATACAAAATTCCGGACCCCATATTTATGTTACTATCTGATGTTGGCCCTCCACATTCAAGAGAATTTACTTTTGAATGTAGTGTGGCATCTATCAAAACTGTAGCTACTGGAAATACCAAAAAGATGGCTAAACAATTGGCAGCTAAGGAAATGTTAGAGAGGTAAGTATAATATGTAAAAGTTAAAATATATTTCAGGTTCATATAATTGTGAACTGTGAATTGTGGATATTAGGTTTATTTAAGTAAAAATTTTTACTTTTCATTAAAATTAACCAACTAGAACAATATTTGCAAATGGCTGTTCACAAATTCACTACTCCACTACTATAATTTTCTAGAAGTTAATAGCAATATTTTAGTTTTAATCTTTATCATAAAATTGATACCTACCAAATTTTAACAAGCTTAAAATCTGTTTTATTTTTACCAACCTTTGACAAAATAAATTGTTTTTGAAATTGGTCAAGAAATTTATTAACTGTTTTAATAGCTGTTTTACATTGACAATTTATTGATGAATAAATTGACGAAGTTCTTCATGAATTAATTCATGAATTTATTGGTAAACAGTGTGGTTTTACACTGCTACAGACTTTGTCAAGTTTTTTGACGCATTAATCAGTTCTACCAACGAATCAAAGAAGCAAATAAATTTCAAAAATGTTACCTTTCCACTCATAATTGTAGTGATACAACAGCAGTACTGTTTTGACATATATTATATAAATATTATTGTTTGTAAGTAACAAATCGGTAAAAACATTGCAAAACTAGTACGATGCCACACAATATTTACATATTCCAATAACATAACCTCATTACTGATCTGAGGCTGGAAATCTGTTGGGTTGGTACTTCCGAACTTCACGAAGAAATTGACGAAAATTAGAACATGCTCTAATTCGTCAAGAACTTGATGAATAAATTCATGAAGTTATTTGACAGCTGATTTGGTGCATTACACTTGTCCAATTTCTTGATGAAGCGACTTTATGAATTAATTGATCAATAAATTGTCAATGTAAAACAGCTAT